CATGCCTGCTGATCCGCGGGTGCTGGCTGCAAGCCGGCAAAGGAGACCTCCATCGGCACCTGAGTCTGGAGGGAAGCTTTTGTCTGAGCGCGCCCCTCCTGCTGCGCGCTCCGCTTCACGTTTCCTGAATGCGGTAACGCCTGGCCATTAACATGAACAGTCACCTTACAAACGTTAGACATGTGATTCGGCCTACCACACCAACCACACAAGAACATGGGGAATTTGACCTTCTGAAACTTCTTCCCCCGCTCCCTGCTAGCCTGCGCATTCCCTTGCTGTGGCCGCCCGCCCTGTGGTGCTGCCCAGACTGGCTGCACAGCGGCAGCCACAGTGGCCAACTTCCGACGTGAGGGAATGATGTTCGCACAGGCTTCTGCCATCTCCCAGATACTAGGATCACCAGGCATAGCCGCTATAACCTCACTACAAGCTTCATTACAATTGCACTTAACAAGGTTTGCAATCGTAATGTCCCTCGCCAGAGGATCAGGCACCTGCCTCTCCACAGACGCAATCAACCTCGCCGCAAATACCATAAAAGGCTCATCATCCCCCTGGACAACGGTTGCAAATGGCTGCTTCGGAGCAGCCATTTCCGGGGTCTGCACAATCGCTCCCATGCCCAGCGTATTGCATTGCTGAAGCACAAGGGGGTCGTATCCAACCTGACCCTGAACATTCTCATAACGCCCTGTCCCCATCAGCATGTCAACAACAACTCCACGCCTGGGGTCCTCCGGCGCCAGCACAGAATTCTGCCTCACCGCTTGGGCCGTCAGACGAGCCCACTTGGTCTCAAAAACACCAAATTGCACAGGGTCAAAAAGAGAATGTGCCACACAATGGACATCGTGAGGTGTCAGCACGTCCTGATCAAGCCTCTAAAGAATGTGCATAACCTCAGCAGACCCCAAACCATGCAGAGCAACCGCTTCACTGAGTTCCTTCTCCAGCTCATATACAAGGGGTTCATAAGTGTTATGAGTGACGCCCCTGAGCACAGGGAAAGCCTGGGGACCCCCTGGCAAAGCCACCACACCTGCTATGTCCCGATCCTTGGGCCCCCCAGAGACAAGAGGGAGTGGTTGACTGGGAGCCTGGGCAACACCACTCGTCCCTGCGCCCCCAGCAGCACCGACAGAGCCAAAGGAATCCGCCCCGCGACCCTGCAGATGCAGTGAGGAGAGATGTTCATTCATCTCGTTGGTCTTGGTTTTTGCCTCTGGCCAGAAACGTTCAGGGTACCTTGGACGCACGGTCACCTGGCACGCAGGAAGCGTCCAATGACTTGACAAGAAAGCGCCATGGCCCCGGGCACCCACCGTTCTCCCGCCGGCCGTGTCAGCAGTTGCACTAAAGGTAAACACCCCAGTCCCCTGCTGCGCTGCAGCTCCGGCAGGGGCCGCCTCGGCGGCCGCAGCTGCTGGCACGGCCCGCAAATCTGGCACGGCCCCAGACGAGACCGGCGCGGGGCCCCCATCCCCCGATAACGGGGGCAGGGTGGGATGCCGAGGGAGGCGCGGCTCGCGGAGCTGCGTCACTGCGGGGCGGCACAAGGGAGCCGGGCAGGCCCCCTATGAGAACCCCCCCCAAAGCCGCAAGGTCCCGCAGCGGGCACCGCCCCCACCGAGCAGAGAGGGACGGGCTGCCCGCCCACCGGAGCGGGGCCGGGCGGAGCATCGACCGACGCCCCGCCCCCGGCTGCCTCCACAGACTGCGCATGCCCAGCAGGCTGCACAGACCCGGAGGAAGGCGAAATCGCTCCCCTCGCTGAGGAACCCAACTCGGGGATGGGAGACCCCACCCCCACCTCACTCAGGGGGAACGTGGTGGGCACACTGCAGTTGGGACAAAAAGTCGTCACCGCAGCAGCCTCAAGTTGGGGCGGAGGCTGACCCTTAAAGGCCGGGAAGGCACACAGAGAGGGCAACCTGTCCCCCGCCCCACCACCTGCACAGGGCGAGGCGGGGCGAGGACGGCCCGCCGAATCCAGAGAGCCTTCTGGACCCAGGACCAGCTGGCTGTGAGCCCAATCCACCCCTGGCGGACAATGGCCACTCCCCAGCACACCGTTGTGGGGCGGGGAGGGGGACTCCACATCACACAGGAGCTCAATCTCCTCCTCATCCACATCCGAGATAGAAGGGCTCCCCTGGGAACTCCGAGGAGTACAAGAACCAGACCCCCGCCAAAGCTCCTGACATTTCTTCCACTGCACCAGCAGCGGTCCCACGTCTACAGTACAATCATCAAAGAGGGCCTCCATGAGGTGGACCCCCAGGAGAGACCACTCCTGCTTATCGAACGCCTTCACAGGGTCCGAAAAAAACCCTCGCTCCCGGGCCCACAAAATCAAACTCTCCAAACCATCCCAGGAAACAGACACCTCTTTCCACTCCAGGACCCACTTCCAGAGATCCAAAATGAGGGAATCATCCTGAAAAACCACAGAGGTTTCCATCGCCCCAAGAATAGCAGGCAAAGCACCAAAAGGAGGGGGAGAAAACCTCACCGCAGTGCGCTGTCCGTGTCTCAGCCTAGACTGCAATACACTTCGGCGGTCACCAGATGTCGCTGACGGACACGAAAGAACACAAGCACACCACCGCTTTCCAGTGAAGGGAAAAAAGGGAAGTTTTATTCTCTGACTCCAATATTTATAGTTTTACAAAAGTGACAGTGGATTGGAAGGTGACAGTGACACCTCTACAATGCCACAGGTTAAACCAACAGTCCATCAACTCTCTCCTCCTCCATAAAGGAATGAAAAACAATGAGTTATTTACAGAAAGTGTGTGAGAAAGTTCACCACAAGAATGTCAACATCAGAAGGCTTAGAAAATCTTAAAAATCCAGGGCGACATTGGAGTCTCTGAGAGCTTTGTGCAATCATGGCCTCCAATTATCTGCTTTAATTAGTCTCTGGAGAGTCTTTGTCAGTAACAACACTTAGTGGGGCTCATTAATGCTTCTAGGTACTTCAGTTATTTTAAGGTACTTGGTGTTTCCCTTTCGATACAGACTAGGTGAGAGATTTGTGCAATCATGGCCTCAATTATCTGCTTTAACGAGTCCCTTGAGAGCTTTATACTGACACTTAGTGGGGCTCATTGATGCCTTGAGATATTCAAGGTTTTTAAGGTACTTTTGATTTTCCTTTCCACACTGAGTCTCTGAGAGGTTTTTGTGCCACCCTGGCCTCCAATTCTCTCCTGCAAGGAGTCCATGATGAGCCTGTGTTGGGGATGGACCTCAGTGGGACCCATTCATGCTTTGTGACACTTTGGGTGTTTCTTCTGACCTTGATTCCTGGAAAGGTTTGATCAATCTCCTCTCAGGCCCTGAGGTTCAAGGACTCAGCTCCAAATGCACCACGGGGCTCATTAGGATCAGGCAAGTCCTGACAAACCATGGCTCTGCCTTGATTTCCTTCTGCTCTAGTTCAGTTCATCAGAAATATTTCTATGATGGTTTTGGTTCGCCAATTTGAGATGTCTTGGAGAATGCAGCAATTACTGTGGTGGGTTCAGTGGTGGGTAATTACCAGTGCACTCACCAGAATATACTTACTCATTTCCTGCTGTGATGTAGGATTAGGAGACAGGCAAAGTAGGCTCAAAGCTTTAAAAGTGTATAAAGAAAAGTTTATTAATATTAACTAAAAGAAAGAGTAATAAGAATAAAAACAAAACTTTCAGAACACTTCTCCTCTCCCTACAACCTTTTCTTTCTTACTGACAATTTAAAGAGACAAAACCTAAAATTTTCAGTCAGTTTATTACTTCTAGAATAGTCTTTCTTCAGTTCACTTAGGGAGAGGAGTCTCTCATGCTACTGAGACTTCTCCATAAGAAAACAGTTCTCCTGTGGCTCTCAATTTCCAGGAATAGCAGCCACCAGGAAAAACCTGCAATTGTGAAGTCCCTCAGATTTTTTTACAGTTTTCCCCACAGCTGTGTTTATTGACCATGTCAAATTATGGGGTGTTAGTTTAAAGATGAGCTGCTTAAGAGCAAAGGTTCTCTTTGTCTATTTCTGAAATCATCTTCATCTCTAGGAACAGAGGTGTTATAAACTCTGTTAAACTTCTCAAGGGATCACAGCTACTTTAACATTTGCTTACTTTAGTACAGAACCCTTTGCTGAACAAGTCATCTCCCCATACTTTTCAATGCCTTATAGGAAAAAGTGAGTGATGTATCAATTACATCTTTCTCCGTTGCTTTTTGTTATAAATGATCAAATTGAGAGCCAAACTTATAAGAAAATTTAGCAAAGACTTATTAATTTTTCTGTGAGACCGAAGTTCGGTTGTCGAAACCACCACAGCCAAGGGTCAGCGTTGAGCCCGGGATTGGCGCTGGGTGAATGTGACCATGGTCACAGGGGTATGCAGGATGAGAGAGAGACGAGAATGTTGATTCTATGATCAGAAGGCTTGATTTATTATTTTATGATATATATAACATTATGACTATACTAAAAGAAATAGAAAGAACAAGTTTCTTCAGAAGGCTAGCTAAGCTAAGAATAGAAAAGAATGATAACAAAGATCTGTCTCTCGGGCAGAGAGTGAGAGCAGTTCTGCCGTGAGTGATCAGTAAATCCAAACATCCACAGGAGACCAATCACGGATCCACCTGTTGCATTCCACAGCAGCAAATAACCATTGTTTGCACTTTGTTGCTGAAACTTCTCAGCTTCAGCAGGAAAAATCCCAAGAAAGGATTTTAATGAAAAGATGTCTGTGACAGGTGAATACACAGATCTGACCTCCAAATGTCAGAGTCTTCCCCTGCTCACAAATGCTGCCTCGTGCAGCGAGTTTTTATACAGTTTATTCTGCCTGAGGCAGAGATGACCGAATGTTCTTTGTGTCTCTTCACATGCATAACCGTGACTTTACATGTGCAGAGGTAGACAAAGACTCAGTCCAAGTGTCTTGATGTTGTCAGTAGACTCCGGGGAAGTCAACATTCACATGCATCAGGGTGGCGTCATCGATCGTGGTAGATGTAATCCTTGAGGTGATAATCACTCTTGGGTGGACCAGGGGAAGCCAGTGATTATCGACCTGGAAACTTCTTTTCTTACGTTAAAAAGCCCAATGTTTATCTCAACGAAATCCGGGAACTACACATATATGAATAAGACACTGCTCCCGGCCAGGATGGTCAAAAGACATAGTTTAGATTTTACAATATTTTATACATAAATTTACAATATTTTATACATTAATAGCATGAATTATCTCTACCATATACTATACTTTTAGAGAGGATTTCAGCCCCAAGATCAAGGCATCTCTTTATCCCTCCCATCTGGGACTCGACTTCCTCTTCACTGACCTCAGTGTCTTAGTGTCTTCATGTTGGTCCTCTATGTGCCTGCACTTTGTCCTTTTCTCTCACTCGATGGAGGATGGAAGCACTGAAAGAGTTCATATCTCACCCGGGGCCTGCAGATGGTTCCGTGACCCCAGTGGGGCTCGGTGCTTGCGGCCGGAGCTGTTTTACGATGGAGGTTTCTCCAGCAGCTGCGCTGGGGCTGTGTCAGGATGGGCCGTGCTGGGGCAGGGCCAGGATCTCAGTGGCCAGGCCAGAATACAGCAGCAGCAGCTCGGCCGGGGTCGATGGCTTCTCCTCCCCCTGCCTGGGGCTTGCAGCTGAACCCCAACAGTGGCAGAATCTTGGCCAAGCCGGCCCGGCCCGGGGCTGCTCCTGGGGCCCAGCGGATCCTGGCTGGGCCCGGGCTGGCGGTGGGGCAGGGCTCTGCAGTGCCCAGATGGTCACAACTGCAGCCATGGCCCGGCCCAGCCTCGGCGCCGCAGCCTCCCCTGCCCTGCCCAGCAGCCGATGCGGCCTGGCGGGGTCCCTGGGAAGGGGCCCGGCCCCCCAGCAGGAGCTGTCTGGCCTGGCCTGGCTGAGATGGGGGCGGGTCAGCCTTGTTACCTCTTTGCCAGCCAGAAGGGAAAGAGGCCCTCCCAGGCTTTCTCATCTTTAACATGTGTCTTCACAGTGGTGTGTACAGTTTCCTTAGTGGTTTAACAGATTGTCAATTCTCAGAGCTAATTACTGATTGGTTTTTTTGTCAAACACAGAGGAAACTGCTAGCGGCTTCTCTTAGAACATCACTTTCATGATGCAAAACCCCCACACCAGCACAGAGCACAGAGCTCTTTTGTGCATATATAGTGGTCATGTGCCTGAGACCTCAAAACCCCTCCTTGGGAGATCTCTGAGCCCTCTCCAAGGTGTTTGCAATTGAAAACATTCAGCTCATAGTCTAAGAAAATCACCAGAGGACAGGGCCAGCCTGATATGTCTGTACTGGCTACTTTTGTCTTGGAGCATTCCTTGGATATTCGGAATTTCAGAGGCCAAATTCTAATTTTGGCCATGGGCCCTGGACATAAAGGCTGGTTCTTTTCCATAGGAAGGAAGGAACAGAGCCGCAGTGTTTCAGGGGCAGAAGAGAGGTGACCACCAGAGGCCAAGGCCAGCCAGAGCTGACAGATTTTATTCTAAGAGATACCCTTGCATTCACTAAATTTTTTAGGGAGAGTACCAATTTTGGCAATGGGCATCTGAAAAGATGGACAGTTCTTTTCCATAGCAAGGAAACCACAGAGCCTCAGTTCTCCAGGAGCTAATGGGCAGCAGCCCTTGACATCCCAAGATCAGCAAGACCTGTCAGGTGGCTCCTGGAAGGCCAAGCCAGCCAGACCTGCTCCATGTTCCCTCGATTCCATGGCGCCCCACAGTGCCCCAACAGACCATTGCTTCCATGAGGCCCTGAGGTGCCATAATGCCCCCTTGGTGACACGAGGCCCTGAAGGATCACAATGGTCTCCATGGTTCCATGAGGGCCCCACAGAGTCATAATGGTCTCTAGGTTCCATGATGCCCCACTGTGTCACCATGGCCCCTTCATTCCATGGCCTCCAGTGGTGCCATAATGATCCCCTTGGTTCCATGAGGTCCCCACTGTGTCCCAGTAATCTCCACGGGAAGGAAAGAACCCAGCCCCAGTGTTGCAGGGGCGGCCACCAGAAGCCAAGCAAGGCCAGCCAGACTTGATGGTACTGGCAGATTGTGCCTGGGAGCAACCCTTGGATATACAGAACTTTGGAGGTGGAATCCAAATTTCAGACACGGACACCTGGATGAGAAGAATGGTTCTTATCCATAGGAAAGAAAGCATGGAACACTGATTCAACGGTGACATTTGGGGATCTATGGGGGGTACTAGGGCTGCTTTCTGCAACTCATGACTCAACAGAAGCTTCTCTAATAAGCATATCCTGAAGCTCCCACAGTGCCCATGACAGGAACCTTGTGAGTATCTGGGACATCCCGGCTCTTTGGCAGCCTGGAGACTCCTGGGTTGTCACTGTGGAGCCCCTGTGAGTGCCTGTGACAGATCGGTGCCTTTGCAGCCCAAGGTCACCTGGGATGCCCCATGGAATGGCTGTGACTGCCTCTGACCACAGGGGTCTTTATCATCCCAGAAACCCCTGGGAGGTGTCCATGAGCCCCTGTCTCTGTGTGTGACATTCCAGCTGTGGAACAGCCTGGAGACTCTTGGAAAGTCCTAATGAAGCCTCTCTGAGGGTCTGTGACAAATCTCATCATTAGTAGGCAACCATCACCAGCTCCCTGTTGCTATGGTCAGTTTCCATGGCAACCATCACCAGCCACCACATTGCTATGGTCAGTTTCCATGGCAACCTTCACCAGCTCCCTGTTGCTATGGTCAGTTTCCATGGCAACCATCACCAGCCCCCTGTTGCTATGGTCAGTCCCTTGGCAGCTCCATGGAGACCCCATGCCAGGGGTGGTTGCCATGGACACCAGCTCAGGCCTGCAGTCAGAGCTGTTGCCATGGCAACCATTGGCAGCCCCCCCATCCCCAGGCTCATGGGATCCCAGAACCACAGAATTGGCTGAGCTGGGAGGGACCCATCAGGATCCTCCAGTCCAACTGCTGGCCCTGCACAGCACAACCCAACAATGCCAGCCTGGGCCTGGCAGCGCTGTCCAAATGCTGCAGCAGCTCAGAGAGCCCTGGAGCTGGGACCCTTCCCTGGGGAGCCTGGGCAGTGCCCCAGCAGCCTCTGGGCAAAAACCTTTTCCTGACATCCAACCGGAGCCTGCCCTGACTCAGCTGCAGCCGTTCCCTCCACTCCTGTCCCTGGGCACCAGAGGGAAGAGGTTCCCACAGCCCCAGCCAGGGACCCGCTCCCAAGGCTGTTGCCATGGCCACCAGGGCTGGGACCGGCTGGGATGCTCGGTTTCCATGGACAGGGGTTCAGGAATGGGATTCCCCAATTTCCTGCCCCTGCTAAAACCGCGCTGCCCTCGCTGCCCTCCCGCCTCCCATGGAAAGCACAAAAGGCAAAGATCCCGGGCTGGGATAAGAACAATTTATTAGGAACAGGAACAAGATAAGGGACAAACAGAACTGAAACAATATTGATAACAGAAGGGATAAATGAAAAAGTTTACTGGGAAAACTAAAACACAACTCACTGGGTCTTCCTGGCCACAATTTCCCCTGTTTGGAAAGGACACCCTTCTTCTCAGGGAGAGAGAGAGAGAGAGTGCCCCTTTTCTGCACCTGGAAATTCTCTGAGGTGGGAGTGAATGACACAGCCATGGCAAGACCCTCATGTTTTTCAATGCCACATCATGATACTGGTAGGGGCAGGAAACAGGACAGGTGTCTTCCCAGCATGGATCATGGGGAACATGGATGACCAGGGATCTTCCCAATGTGGGTTCTCCCATGGGGGATGAAGCTGGAGTGGTGCATGAAGCTGTTCCTGCATTTGTGGCATTTGCAGGGCTTCCCTTACTGGTGGCTCCATTGGTGTCTGGTCAAGTGAGAGCTGGTGGTGAAGCTCTTCCCACACTGGGGACACTCATACGGCCTCTCCCTTGTGTGGATGCGCCGGTGGATGATGAGGGTGAAGTTGTGCTTGAAGCCCTTCCCGCACTCAGGGCAGTGGAAGGGCCTCTCATCTGTGTGAATCCGCTGGTGGCGGAGGAGATGTGAGCTGGTCTGAAACCTCTTCCCGCATGTGGTGCACTGGTAGGGCCTCTCCCCAGTGTGGATGCGCCGGTGCTTGATGAGGGTGGAGTTGTGCTTGAAGCCCTTCCCGCACTCAGGGCAGAGGAAGGGCTTCTCTGCGGTGTGAATCCGCTGGTGCTGGAGGAGACTGGAGCTGGTCTGAAACCTCTTCTGACACTGGGGACACTCGTAGGGCCTCTCTCCAGTGTGGAGGCGTAGGTGGGTCACAAGGTTGGATCTGTAGCTGAAGCCCTTCCCACACTCCCCACACTCGTAGGGCCATTCCCCAGTGTGGATCCTCTGGTGGCTGATCAGGTGGGAGCTCTGCCTGAAGCTCTTCCCACACTGCAAGCACTTGTGGGGCTTCTGCCCATCATGAAGCTGCTCATGGACCACCAGCTCTGAACTCTGGCTGAAGCTCTGTCCACATTCCTGGCTCAGGGTGGCTCTTTCTTCTTCAGAGCACCCTGGGCTGGGTTTGGAGCCCCTCCTCATGGGGGATGTCTGAGGTTTTTCTTCCCTGTTGGATTCCTGTGCGCTAGAATCACTCAAAACGGCCTCTTTCACAAGGTTCTGCCATGCAGATTTTTCCTCCCTGGTCTCCATCCTCAGTTCCTTCCCTGGGGAAGGAAGGACAAGGACAGGATGGGATTTGCCTCCATGCCAGAGGGAAGGGGAAGGAGATTCCCGCAGTGCATCCCCGGCAGGACGGGGTTGGCAGCAGGGTTGTCCTGCAGCCAGGGGCTGTGCTGGGCTGGGAGATAGTGCAGGAGAGAGGGGGAAATAGGAACTGACTTCCTCCTCACTTATCTGGGTGTCCCAGGGCTCCTTCCTCTTCCTCACAGCCTCCTTCTCCATCCAATCAAGGTTTGGGGATGGGAAATCCTGTTCTGGGAAGAAAACAAAGGGTGCGCACATTGTCTTTTGTACTGGTTTGAAGGCAAACCTGGGGAGGGTCTAAACCAGA